CTTGTATCTCAAATTAATATTGCATAACTCATACAATTAAACCTGGCCAAATCTAATTGTATAGCATTAAATCAATCAATAGGAAATCAATCAAAGCATTGAAAATCAACAATAATAAATCACCCCTTCATAATATTTATGGATCCCCATGAACCCTAGAAATAAAACTAGTCACAAATAATTAAATCTAAACAAAGAAAAGCAATAAAACAAGACATGATAAAACAAAGCAATTAAATTACTGAAAGTAAAAGGGAAAGAAATCGTTACCAAAATAATCGGAAATATGAAATTGCATAAACCAAAATTGTTGAGAGAACAAGAGTATTAATCAAAAGCTTAAAACTAAAATCTGGAAATTAACTAATGAAAAGACGTAATCAAATCTCGCTTAGCAAAGCGTATTTATACTTAAGCTAGAAATCTTATACTTAAACGATGTAAAAATCTTCATTAAGCTCCTCAGAAACACGCGCTCTGTGGGGCGCCATCTTGCCCGGCCGGGCCCGCCTTCGACTAGTGAACTCTCTCTCGCGCCTCAGGGCGAGGAGTCTTTCCTTCCTATCTTCCTCGCCCGGCTAGGCGCGCCTCGGAGTGAGGGCTTCCCTGGTCGAGCGAGCATCCGGGAAACTTAGACTTCTTCGATTGGGTTGTTTTCTCGGCTCAATCTGGATTTCCTCTTTGGGTCCTTAACACTCGGTCCATTGCCTCGGTCTCTTCTTCTTCACCGAGCCCTCAATCACCGGTTTGATTACTCCAACACGGTCTTGGGCTACGGAATATGGTCATATGAATGCGATCCTACTCCAATGCTCGTAGTGGCTCAAATAAGTCCGGGAAAATGCTCCAAATCCGCAATTTCCTATAAAATAATACCAAGACTACGAAAACACTAGAAAACGCATATTAGTAATAAAAGTGGCTCCATAGAGCCAAAAATACTCCTAAATATACCAAGGGATGGGGGTAAAACACTATATAAAATATACATATCAGTCCCCCTTTGTGAACTAAAGCGACATACCAAACATTCAGTCTTACTCCGACTTATCTTGAACCCTCTAGATTCCAACCTTTGCTTCCATTGCTCCAAATTAGCGTTAACCTCATCTTTAGTTTCATCCACCAAAACGATATCATCCGCAAACAATACATTTGTTGACACATCCCAATACATATCCTTAATTGGACCACATACCTTCGTGGAATACCTTTCTTCAACATTGCCCGGATTTAGTTTAATATACAGAAGAGATTAGTTGACCAAATAGGAAGGAATATACATTCATAAATAGAAATCCACCCATGACTTTTATGTTCAATAACATAAATATTACGAAGTATATTTTTCATATAATATAAAAATTGTGCGATGCATCATTAGGATCCAAAAACTAGAGTATTAAATGAAAACAAATAAATAAATAAGGTTAATGGGTGTGTGTACAATGAGTGAGTTTTTGAGAGAGTGTATATGGTACATATGGATATACTACTTGATATTTTTTTAACGTAAAATATGGACACATCACATGCCATACATGCATGACACCAACGCAAAATATGTGTGTGTGGAGGCGTGTTGTGTGCGAATGCACCCAAAATTGTTTGATATTGTCAAGACGAGTAGTTTTTATAAACAAGATTTGACTCTATATTTGTTTGATACTCCATATAAAGGGTATTCCGTGTATGTTATAAATATATGAACGGTATTATAAGTTAAGAGGATTGTTGGTTGTTGAGTATATGCTTTAACTTCATTATTTCAATATTAAAGTTAAGATTTTAGAAATTAAAAAATTATATTATTTAATTTTTTTTCATTTGCAAAAGCTACATATTTAATACACGCATATATCTTGTAACTTTACACATCAAAAATTCATATATTGGACCTTATGAAATCTGATTTATTTGGATTTAAAAAAAAAGAGTCATGTTGCATTATCATGACAATAACAAGATTAATATAGCATGACAATTGAGTTGTGAATGCTAAGCTTTAATTGAACAAGTTATAAAATTATAAAACGATAAAGGTTTGAAACAGAAAACTTTCAATTTTATTCATACATTTCCCGTACGAAATGTGTAAATTTTAGCATCCATAGAAACAAAGCAACATTATTCTTAACATTATTTGTATGGATTAGTTTTGGGCCCTTTTGGCAATCTCTGGGTTAATCTCCTTCATCTTCACATTACATAAGACCAAAATACCCTGCGCCTCTTCCATTGACAAATCTTCCATTTTCATTGTCCCTCGTATGAGTAAAGTGCACAATATTTCTATCCTGACTCTCACAAGATCGCTCATAAGGTTTTGAACGTTAGCGTTTGCCTCAGACATGGTTGTTCTGAATTAGAGTGTTTGTAAGAAGGATGTGATTTGAGATTCACTTAAATATATTAGCCTATTTATAGAGGTTCAATTGATGTTAGGAAACTATTTGAATATTTTATATTGTCATGACATTTTCAATGTAACAAATGTAAAAAAAAAAATAAAAAAATAAAAAATAAATAAATAAATAAATAAATAATTGTTGTAAAATTTCCCTAAATTGCTCAACAATATGTTGGAAAAATATCATTATGGATTTCTTACCAAAATTTTAATATCATCAGTTACAGGAAACGTGTAAGACTACATACCTTTTTTCATAAATTGATGTAACGAAATTATGTATATTGATTAAAACTTATTTTTCCTATAATACGCGCAATAGAAAAAAAAAAAAAAAAAAAAAAATTCTAGTTAGTCTCCCCATCCTTTTTTTTTCTCTGCCATGTCTTAAACCTTAAGGTTTTTTGTTTTAGGATTTTTGTTGTGTCCCATGGGAGAGTTACAACACCAAGACTAGTTCGCTTGACACCTTGTACCAAAAACAAATGGAAGCTTCGGTTGTTCAGAAATCCGCCTCCAACGATCAAGATGGTACCGGACGAGTAGATAAACAGAAAGTAAAAGTGGAAAGTAAAAGGTCGTTTTCTTGGTTTTCGAGAAAGTGTATTAAATGATGTTGTAATAATTGATGAATAGTGAATCCTATCCTACTGTCATAAATGTGCACTATTTATAAGAGTGTAGGATTACGTACCCCCTTAGGTCATTTTAACCTAGGTAAATGAGATGCGTTGTTTTTACGGCTCCTCGGAATTTGGGCCTAAGAGATGTCATTTCCTCAATGACGATGGGTGCCACGTGTCATGCCCTGGTTGGCTCAAATCATTTTGAGTGTGGGCCTAGGGTGACACGTGTCACCTTTTGATTGGGCCACATGTCTAGGGTAATTTTTACCCTAAACATTTGCCCCTTATAGGGGTGACATGGTTGTGCACGTGGCACTTGTAACACTTGTTAGGCGCGTGGCTAGGGGACACTTATTTTAACCGTTTACCTTCCTCTGATTTTACTGATCTGCTTGGTTTTGCCTCTCTATAAATATGAGTTTTCAACCCCCTCCCCCTACTTCTTACATTTTCAAAAAGTCTAAAGAGAGAATTTGAGAGCTTTTGTAGAGAGATTCTTGACTGAGCCACCGTCTGTGATCGCCGCTTGTTAATAGTCGTCTAACACTTCACAAATTCCAAGCTTATTTATTTTTCAAGGTGATCGTCTCTCTCCATTTTTTTTTTTCTATATTGTATCTTTCGTCTATGACATTTTCCTTTGCATTATTTCAAATAGTTTTACAAACACACACGACACGGCCTAGGATAGCTGTTAGCCGGTTTCTAGGGATTTTTGGGAGGTGAGAGTCGGGGTGGGGGAGGAGGAGATGAGCTGGTCGCCGACATCGGGGGAGTGGGTCTCTATATTGACAGGAGAACGGTGTGGCGCCGGCGGATGGTAGGGGGCTGGCTACTAATGGACCGGTGAGGGAGGGTGGTATGGTTTTTTTTTTTAAATAATTTAATTATTAAAAAATTGAAAAAAAACCATAGTTAATAAATTTAACAGTAATTTTTCTGTGTGACTGGCCATACTGTGTGGCAGGGGTTTACTTATTCAAGGGTTACTTGTAGGGGTTACTTATTCAGGGGTTACTTATTGTAGGGGTTACTTACTTAGGGGTTACTTGTAGGGGTTACTTATCCAAGGGTTACTTATAGGAATTACTTGTAGGGGTTATTTAATCAAACGATTAGCGCGTTTTCTGTGTGAGAGTAACCTCTGACCGACCAGGTAACCCTTGAATAAGTAACCCCTATAATTTACCCCTGACCAAACGAGTAACCCCTGAATAAGTAACCCTACAAGTAACCCCTGACGAAACGGTAACCCTCTATAAGTAACCCCAGTCACACGGTGTGGCCAGCCACATACAAAAAATTGTGTAATTTTAATGAAAACATTTATTCTCTTTGGTAATCAATAATATAAGGTTGTCAAAGATAATAGATTTTTTGCAATTCACCAAAGAGAAATATAAAAAGTTTGATATGTGTCAACTATATGTAATACAATATACATGTATATTCACACAATTCGTAAATTTATATATTATTTATGTTTCAGGTTATTTGCAACGATTAGGCATTTTCTACTCGCACTTTATATCAAATCGTTACAAATAATATGAAAATAGAGGTAGTATAATTTAATATAATTTATTTCGTTTCATATCTTATTAACTAAATTATATTTGAACTCTAATATTCATGCATTGCATAGGCTTAAAATTAGTATATATATTAGAAAAAATTGCCGGGAATAATCCGACCTTTGCCTCGTTCACCCAAAATTATCACACCTTTTGATTATTTTTTAATAATCCGACCTTTATACCCAATCCGTTAAAATGGCCTCAACCGGTCATGTAACTTGTTATAACAAGTTACTTAACTCGTGTCGACCTATGATTTGTCAAAAAATAAAAATAAAATAATTTTTTTAAAAAAAAAGATAAATATTTTTACAGAATAAAAAAATTAATTATTTACAAAACCACCCACAACCCAAGCGGACTTTCCCTGCTGCCTAACTCCCCTACGTCGTGGCTCTGGCCGCCAAGACCCCTAACCCTAGCGCTTGCACCGGCGTTGGCACCGCGACTGATCCCCCTCCCATAAACCACCAACCCGCCTCCCTCACACAAGAAAACCCAGGCAGCGCCGCTTTAAGCATTGGCGAGCCATAAAACAATTCCCCGCCCTCGAAAACCCCATATCCATCTCGACTCCGACACCTGTCCCCTTCCCCCTTCTGATTCCGCTGGCCGATTGCCTGACTCCCCTACACCATGGGATTCAGACCCCTCTTCCTTCAACAACCCCATTTTTTGGGATCTGGGTTGGTGGGATTTTGAATGGGCTTAGCGTTGGTGGGGTTTCGAAGGAGTTTTGGGGTTGGTTGGGGTGGTTCTGATCGGTGCGGTCGATTTTGGTCTGGGAATGGCGTTTTAGTCTGGTGGGGATGGTGGTGGCTGAAGTGGTGTGTCTTAGGTGGTGCCCGTGGTGGTGGTTTGTTTTTTTAATTAAATTTTACTTTTTTTAACTTTGATTAATTTTTCGTTATTTTTTTATTTTTTTTACCAATCACGTGGTGACATGTGTAAATTAAACTTTAAAAAAAATAAAATTACCTACTCACAGGTTACAGGTCACTTGGGGCCATTTTAAGAAGATTGGCATTAATAGTAGGATTATTTTGGGCGGATGAGACAAAGGTCGGATTTTAACTGGTAATTTTTCCTATATATTAATAAAAACATTGGAAATTCTCTGTACAATCATGTAAATATACTTTCGTAAAAAAAGTGTAATAATTTTCTTAACGAAATACATTTTTGTTTCGTACTAAATTATTTTTATTTTGTAAGTCATTAAAAAAGTGTATTTATATGTTTTTTTAATAATTTATATAAATGAATTTATTTACATTTGATTTGAACCCACTTGTAAAAAATCCTAGATTTGTCACTGCCTCACAAAATTACATATAAGCTCTTCATCAATTATCACCTACCAAATGAGCCATAAGAGTTAATACTATAGGCAGATTGACTGCTGATGAAGTTGCCTCGAACTCCATGTAGTGTTGATGTGTGAGGAAGGCCAAATAATGGTTGGGAGCCTTTTGCTTTCCACTAGATGAGGGAAATTAGTGGTATAGTGAAGGCCAAGGCTTTCAGTTCTTGATAAAACACTGCTAACTACCAAGTTGGCACAACAAAAGAGGTTCCTCATTTCACAAGCTTCAAGTCCAACCATTGTTGGCTTCCATCCATATTGAAACAAGTATTCCTCCCATTTAACTTCCAATCTGGCGATTTTCTGCTCTGCAGTCGTTAGTCTAGCTGTGGACCTTACAATTCCAACATATGTCCACATAATGGCTTGCAGTTCTTTCCTAATTTCTTTTGTCTTAGTTATGAGTTTTCCAAGTACATCATCACCAAGTGATGTAGCAACCATTGGTTTTTCCCACCTATCAGAAGCATTTAAATTGAGTTTTGAGTTACACATATGGTCTATTGCAGGCTGCACAGCTCTTCTTGCAAAAACTAAGGCTTCAAGTAATGAATTACTTGCGAGCCGATTAGCTCCATGCAAGCCTGTGCAAGCAACCTCTCCTGCAACGTAGAGGCCTGTCACATTTGTTTTCCCTTGGAGCCCAGCTCGAACTCCTCCACACATGTAATGAGCAGCAGGGACCACAGGAATTGGGTGTCGTGTTATGTCAAGGCCAAACTTGAGACATTCAGCTGCAATGTTAGGAAAATGAGAGAGGATTTCATCCTGTGGTTTGTGACTAATGTCAAGGAGAACATATTTCTCATTTCACTTTTTTAATTGATCATCTATACTTCTTGCAACCACATCTCTCGGTGCAAGCTCCATTCTCTCATCATACAGAGGCATAAATCTTTCCATGTCCGAATTGTAAAGGATCCCTCCATCTCCCCTCACAGCTTCTGTTATAAGAAATGCATTTTCTCGGGCCTTCACTGGTGATACAGGAAGGCCTTCATCTGCTAAGGCTGTTGGGTGAAACTGAACAAACCTTGGTAAAAAAAAAAAAAAAAAGAACTACAAATTAGTATAATCAGATAAAATATTCAATGTCAAAAAGTGGAAGCGACATCAGAATTTCTTACTCCATATTTGTGATTATGGCTTGGGCTCGATGGGCCATAGCAACTCCGTATCCAGTTGCTACCTACATTTATTTTTATCCTTAGTCAGATGAAAGAAATTGTCTATAAAGATAAGATCAAGTATATCATATAACACAAGCAGTAAAAGAGACTATGCCTTCCAAAAAATGGATCCCCTTATGAAGGATATAACTGTAAAGCAACTAATACCAGAGGATTTGTCGTGGTTGGGTAGATATGACCAGCACCACCAGATGCAAGTAAAGTCACTTTTGATAGAAATCGCACCACCTGGTATTGGTAAGGATAATCAATAACAAGGATGAACTACTCTCAATACAAAAAGTGAGCATATTAAATTTCAATTACCTCCAGTGTTTCAGTATTTAAAGTGTCAGCACCATGACAAGCAGTGTTGGAACCATCCTGAAAGAACAACTACTCATTAGTCTAGTTTCAGACATTTTCTTTATTTTATATTCTATATAAGAAGTGCTTTTGTTAAGAATATGAGTGGATAATAGTATACATAGTATAATATATTAGACATCTGACTATTCAAAATGAAGTACGGTTTTAACTTTTCACAAGACTGCTGTGCATAACACCTTTTATAAAGTTCACAAGCAACGACACTCAATGGTGAAAGCTAAACTAAAAGTTATGCCCCACATAAAGTTTGCAACTCTATCAGTTCTAGCCTGCTTAAATTGAATATTTTCTTATTTGTTTGTGCATGTTGGAGGTTAAGGGTGGGGATGAGCGGGGCGGAGGGTGGAAGTTCCATTGTATGTCTGTGTAGCAATGTGCGCAAATGTATCCAAAACTCCAAACCACCAACAGTTAGTTCACTTTCATCCTTAATTCCTTTCTGAAAAAACCTGTAAGTACATTTCTATTAATTAAACCCCTTAGTGAAAAGTGAAACTATGTCCACCAAAATGACCACAATTTTAGCCAAAGATTTTGCAATTTTAGGTAATAATATCATCAGACTGAGTTAATGGATGACATAGATTCACATAATGCAATCATTATGAGCCAAGAGACAGGCAGTGTAATAAAGAACAATCCAATTTAAAATAACTTCTTATGGTTCTTTCATCTAGGAATTAGGATGCTAAACCAAAAGGGTAGTGAACGGAAAGACAAATGCAGAATTTAACCTGGGAAGTCAATAGATCGATAGCAAAATGGTGTTGAAACAAGAAAATGTTAGGGTCCCTGACAGCCGCTTCTAATAGTGCCCTCTCTATTTCCCTTCCAGTCATATCAGCCGCATGAACAATTCTGCGATGGGAATGCCCACCCTCCCTAGCTAGGTGCAGATTTCCATCACCGTTATGATCAAAGGATGCTCCGATTGCAATAAGTTCTCTAATTCTTTCTGGGCCTTCAGTGCATACCACCTGAACAAAACCAAACAAGTTTAGCATAAGCTCAATAATGACCTTAAGAGTTCATACTTCATAGTATTGGAAACTACAGAAAATTACTAGTTAATCCATTACAGACAAGGAAGGAAAAATGTTTTGTCTGCAACAAGAACATAAAAACATCGATATGAACTATGGGCTATTTAATGGCTTCATGATGATCATAAATATTAGAAAACATGTGAGCATCTGCAGGAACTTTTTAAAAATGAAGTTATGAACTATAGCCTTCACAGATCACAGGTAATATTGTTGAGGCAATAATACAACCGTAAGGAAAACAACGAAAGATGGCAAAAGACTTTTCATGTCCCTTAATCAGGCCTGCACTACTTGAACAATATTCTTCCTCCAAGGTTCTCGTGATACTTGAGTTTAAAAAAAGCTGTCTGTACCAATTTAAAATGAAATGACTTCATGTAAACAGTTTGATTCCAACGAGCTGAAAATAAAAGAGAGCCAGAAATTTATGGTAGATATTCAAGTATTCAAGTACTGAACTGACACAATACATATATATTGTTTACAGCCAACGACTTTAATGCCAAAAAAATGAAAATATAATAGAGAAAGGCGATACACACGGAGAAAAATTAGATAGCAACTGCTCTGTGTCCAAGTTCACCATTTTTATCTCTTCTTTCACTGTTTGGCTCCTTTAAACTGTATCCTTGATCCCCGGTCAGCTAAAGTTTGATTGACTAATTAATAATTACTAAGAGGTGAATCACGTGACCTGCTGATTAATCTTGTTTGATCTATTTGGTTATGTTGACCTTGGGAGACAATGGTGTCTGTGAAGCTGTGAACTAAAAAGGCTTTGAATAGTCATAGTGTTTCGGGGTTTTCTGATGTCCTGCGGGAGAGTTACAATTCCGGGACTGGTATCCTTGCGCCTGTACCTGCAAAACAACGGAGACTCCTTGTGGTTGGAGTTCCGCCTCCGACGATCAAGTTAGTACTTGTTTGAGGAGTGAATAGTGCGGAAAAGTAAAGGTTGGAAGATCAGGTTCCCCTAAGTGAGGAGTTATCTAGGAGTTTAGGTTCTCTAGGTGAGTGTAATTAATTGCTTAACCCCCTTTAATGAGGATTAATGAGAGTATTTATATGCCTTGGGAAGCGTGTCAATCCTAGGTTTAGGTCAACCTAGGGCTGATTGGGATTTCTTCCGAAGACTGGGCCTTGGTGGTCGTTTTTGCCCATTTGGCATAGGGGAGGCCACATGGCGTGGCACAACTGGTCCAAGGTGGACTAATCTTCGCTTATTTATGGATCCTTACAAACCCTAAAAATAAAACTACTCGTGCATATTTAAATCTAAACTAAGCAAAGCAATTAAAGAAAATATAATTAAATCAAGCAATTAAATTACTGAAAGTAAAAAGGAGATGAAATCGTTACCAAGATAAACGAAAGTAAAGAATTGCATAAACCAAAAGTATGGAGAGAGAAACAAGAGTATTAACTAAAAGCTTAAAACTAAAAACTAAGAAATTAAACTAATGAGAAAAGTAGAGAGAGAGAGAGGAAAAAAAAAAAAAAAGGTCCCCAAACTCGCTTAACAAAAGCGTATTTATATTAAACTAAGAAAACCTAAGCTAGAACGAAGATTAAAAGTGCTAAACGAACTCAGAAACACGTGCCCGGTCGGGCGCCATCTCGCCCTGCCGGGCGCGCCTTCGAGCGAGCAGCTACTCTCTTCCTTCTTTCTAACCCTGCCGGGCGCGCCTTCGGGCGAGCTCCTGGGCAAACTTGGACTTCTTCAATTGGGCCGTTTCTTAGCCCAATTCGCATTTCCTCTTTGGGTTCCGAATACATGGTCCAGTGCCCCGAACTCTTCTTCTTCGCCGAGACCTTAATCACCGATTTGATGACTCCAACCGGTCCTTGGCTTCGGAATGTGGTCATATGAATGCGACCTTACTCCAATGCTCGTAGCGGCTCCAACAAATCTGGGAAAATGCTCCAAATCCGCAATTTCCTATAAAACGATACCAAATCTACGAAAACACTAGAAAACACATATTAGTAACAAAAGTAGCTCCGTAGAGCTCAAATTAACACAATTATGACCATTGGGGCGGGAAATAAATATATATATAAAATAGACTTATCAAATAGTGTAAAAGTCAAATGGTGTCAACTAAAAAAAACGGAGGAAGTATTAGATATGTCTCCCAATGGGAACACCGTATGTGCAACGTGTAGGCGGTGAAATCTAAACCAACCATCTGCTCCCAAAAGAGAATGATATCCGGCGACATCCATTCGGGTGAATTCGTCGCAGAGAGCATCTCCTATTTGGGTGGTACATACTTTATAAACTCAAAAACAAACGGCCCTACCGACTATCTGGATAAAGACAAGCTCGTAGCTGTTTGACTTGAATTATCTAATGGGACCTAGATAGCTTAAGTTTACCGCCTATTTTATAACAACTGGTAGCTGGCTATTATTTTATTTAGATAAAAGAACTCTTTTTGGTGCTTACACCGTTAAAACTTCTGTTATTACTCAGGGGCAATACAGGCGGCCAAATTGAAAAATATAAGCTAAGTCCAAAACCTCGCAGCTAAACATTGCTCGTTCAAAACGACTTACACGGCCAATGGCCGTCTGCTACTAAACGTTTTCCCATCTGCTCGATGGACGACTGTCCGCTTAGATTTGGGCAATAACCGTAGTGATTGATTTACTTGGAAATTAGTCATACTCTTTCAAGTATCAAAAATTTCTAAGTCAATCAATTCACCTTTGAAACAAAGCGCACAGCCGCCCAAGGGCAAGAACATCTGGTATAACGAAAAAATTTCAGAGAAAAAGGCAAGTTAAATACTTAGTTAAAATCTATGCATAACAAAAATTCAGACTTTATAAAAAAAAATAAAAAAAAAAAAAAAAAAAAATTAAAGGAACACATATCGTGATATAAAACCGACTTCATGGCGGATGATTCGTCAATAAATATAGCCGACCCTATGGTCGGCCAAAGATAAAAAGTTAACCGGTACAACCGGCAGAAATTGTTGAAATACCCAACCCCTTATCGGTAAAGATACAGAGTTACACGGCACGCAGGCCGGAAATGCATAATAACTGCCCATTCGGCCGTAGAAAGATACCCAAAGCTAATTATCAAGAGGGAGCTCTTCAGTATGGCCAGCCGCAACTTCATTGTCCCCAGTTGGCTGCACCTCTTTTTCCTTACCCTGCTCCTCCTGATCAGACCCGGACGACCCCTCGTCAGAAGAGTCGGATGACTTCTCTTCTCCCTCGGACTCCTTCAACTGTTTGGCGTTGAGCTCAAGGGTGGCCGCCTCAAATGAATACTTCCACCCGCCATAGTCAGCCTCTGGAAAGAGGGAGTGTCATGTCATCTGCATGAGGGTGTCGCAGTCGTCCATCATCTGCTTAACCAGGGCCGCCTTCTCTTGTTCAGCCCGGTTCGTATACTTTTTGCTCAGTTGGACTCCTGATTTTGCGGCTTCTTCTTAAGGCTCTCACACTGATTGCATAGTCCCTCAGCCTCCTGGTCCGCCTCCTCAAGCGGCTCGAGCTTAGCCTTGAGGTTTTTAACCTCCTCCTCCAACTCAGTCACCAGCCTCTTGGCCGCATCCAAGTTGGCCTTGACCTGTAGATTGGTCGTCGCCTGAGAATATAGGATATCAGTGGTCAGTACTTCATTTTGAGAAATCTTAAACATGGCCGTATCTAGAGAAGAGGCGGCCCGGTCTTTAGCAGCCTTGACCTCTTTCTGCTTCTTATTTAATGGCTTTTTAAGGTCGTTCACCCGCAGCATAGCCTGCAGTCGGCAACAAACAACGTATTAATACCAAGCGACCCGAAAATTAAACAAAAAGAAAAACTAAGTTATTATACCTCAGCAAGAAGGGCCAGGATGGCATCGAAGTTGAGAGTGCCGACTCCTATGACAGACTCCCTATCCTCAAGGGAGATGACCCTCAGCATATTCTTTGATAAAGCTAAAGATCCGGCCTCAGGTTGGCATTTGCACATTCAACACCTCGTAAGTAGTTGACGTAAGCCCGGCCAAAAGACCGGGTGTCTTCAAAAGTACTAGATGACTTTGATGTGACTTAACCCTACAAGGGTAAGGCAAGGGGTTAAAAGCGGTTATACCTCCAGCATCCACCTCCTCCCTGTCCTTAGGGAGTTTGCTCCCGCCTGCAGCCTCCTTCTCCTTGGGAACTTACGCCCGGCCAGCGGCCTCCCGATCCTTGGGGGGCTTGCTCCCTCCAGCTGCTGAGCCGACAGCAACGCCGAGTAGACTTTTGCCACTTTTCGACACCCTTTGGGTGTCCGGCTTCTTCAGGGCCTCAAGGCCGGATGGAGACTTCCCTCCAGTTGAGGGGTGAGAGTCGTCCCCCGCCTTGGAGGACTTTCCGGGCTTGTGAGCCACATGTTTCCTAGACTTGCTAAGAGTTTTCACATCGCCGGCCGTCTGCTTTTGTAGCTTCGGGTCCGGATGAGAAGAGGGTGAGGGCTTGCTTGATCCCCCCTGCATATAAAAACCAAAGTGAGACAACAGCAGGCAGGAAAAGTGACTCAATCAAAGTCTAATTCAAGTTAAAAGTTAGCTTACCTTGGGAGGCTTGTCCGCCTCGGGGTCGTCAGATTTCCGCTTGCCCAGAAGCGAGCGGTAGTAGGCGGCTGAGTTTGCAGCCGGCTTCTTGGAGGCTGAGAGCTTCTCCATATCTTTGTCTGCATAAGAAAAGTTGAATGATTAGTAAGATAAACAAGCAAAAAATCAAGTGAAACACATTCGGCCATCTACCTCTAGGCCTCTCAACGCTAAAGCCGCATGCGGCCAAGTAAGTCCCATCAGCTAGCCACTCATGGTGAGGAATGTAGCTGTGGGGAATAACTTCCTTCTCTCCATTCTCTTCAACAGACCGGATGGTCACCTTGAAGAGACCCTGCTCCTGGATCTGCTCCTGGACCCTCCTTGGGACAGGCGGCATCTCTGCCTTTTGACCCAGTAGAGGGGGGGTTCCGGTTCCACCGTTTGTATTTTTTGTTCTTCACTTTGTCAGGGGAGGAGATGATGTAAACTTGCCCCTTCAGTCCTTCCATTTAGACTCCTTCCCGACAACCATCATATAACCCTAATGGCTTGAAAGGGTATACCATCCAGACCCGCTTGCTTTTGAGGTCCGGCTGAGGTAGTGCATTTTAGAAAAAGCCTCAAAATTTGGCTCTACCTTCAGCATCTCACAAGCGTCAACATACCCCAAAATATTTACCCAAGAGTTGGGGGCAAGTTGCCAGATACCCAGCTGGTATCCGTCCAAAATCCTCTCCACAGCAGGATGAAGAGGGAATCTTAAACCAGCCTGAATGGCTGCCTCATAGCAGCCAAAGCACTCGTCCCCGTAGCTTTATCCTTTTAGCGAGACAACAGTGTCCACCGGATCAGGGACGCTAATGATGTACCCATGTCCCATGACATGGTCAGCTCTAAACTTCCCCACCTTATCAAGCATGACCTTCCGCCTGCTTGCGGGAACATGATGGTAGTAGGCGGCAAATTCCTCCCGGCGAGTGGCAGAGGTTAAGGCCCATCCCTCACCCATCTCTTTTGAGAGGGACTCCCTCGCCGTCTCCAGCCGAGAGCGCTTTCCATCAGAGTCCTCAGAGACTCTACCAGAAGAAGACGACTCTGATTCACCGTCAGAACTGTCGGACCTAACGTCCGAATGAGATGCCAAGAGCCAAAAGCATTGCACCCTAACTCCTCCCCCGACTCTCGTAATATTGAGTCATTAAGGGTACTCGGGGTACCAAGCGGCAGGTCGGACAGGTCACTTACAGGCGCCCTAAAGGAGCCGTCCGGATTTTGTTGCCTGGCTTTTCTTTTTGTTCTCGCCTTTGTTGCCTGGCTGTTCTTTTTGTTCTGGCCATAGTGTCCTGCACAGACACAGAGATGGTCGGATTCAGGGAAGTTCGCAAAGGGGGGTCCAAGAAGGGGCAACCGACACTCCTAGTTCTAGATTCAGCCGTCCCCGGTGACCGGCTGATCGCTATCCTATGTCATGTCGTGCGTGTTTGTGAAACCATTTTCAAAGAAAAGAAACAAAGCTAAAATAAAGAGAAAGAGAGAGAGAAAAACAAGCAGTTACCTTTAGAATGAAGGTACCGAGGGCGCTTGAAAGTCTTGGTCGATTGTGGAATAGGCGGACAAGGTGCAGGTGGCAGATGTTTTTCTCAGAAACGACAAGTTCTCTCAAAAGTCAAAGATTCTCTCTCAAAGATTTTTCGTAAACGTGCGAAAATGAGAGGGGGGTTAAAACTATTTATAAAGGGGTCAAAACTTGGGGGTCAAAACCCTAAATTCACTCCTGAAGGTGAACAGTAAAAATTTATCACCAGTGCATGCGTGACACTTGTCACAGGCGCCACGTGGCTCGCTACGTCACCCCTGTGAGGGGCAAATGATTTGGGTATTTTTACCCAGCCACGTAAACCAGCCAGAGCGTGACACGTGTCTCTCTAGGGAGAGTTCAAAGTGGATCTACCAGGGCGTGACACATGGCAGGCACATACCCCAAGGAAATGGCGGCCTTCAGGGCCCAATTCCCGAAAAAGCCGTAAAACTGCGCAGCCCATCAGTCCTAGGTCGAAGTGACCTAGGTAAGGGCACAAATCCCAATGACCCTATAAATAGGGAGATTTACCCCATTTTGGGGACACGTTCAATCATTACATTCACCCATTTATTACCTTGAAATCAATTCTCTTACAATAGATAAAACACCTGATCTCGAAATCCGAGAAGATATTTTACTTTCCGCTTTTTTACTCCGAACACTTTCTAACTTGATCGTCGGAGGCGGAACTCCGACCAACCAGAGCTTCCATTGTTTTGCAGGTTCAGCCGGCCGGGAAATCAGTCTTGGTGACGTAACTCTCCCTAAGGACATAAAAAACCCCGAAACACATCCCATAGCGCATTTTATTACCTCTTCAACTAGGTCGGACGCTCAAAGCGCTCCAAATAGGAATTACCATACTTGTTCCAAGTAAGTGAATTGCATTATAAATTAAACACAAATTTTTATATGTGGCTGTCCACACCGTGTGGCCAGGGTTATTTGAGTTACTTAATCAGGGATTACTCGAGTTACTCGATCAGGGGTTACTCGAGTTACTCGGTCATGGGTTACTCGAGTTACTCGGTCAGGAGTTACTCGAGTTACTCGGTCATGGGTTTACTTGAAAGGTTCGGTCAAGGGTTACTCGGTAAGGGGTTACTTGAGGGGTTCGGTCAGGGGTTACTCGATCAAGAGTTACTTGTGGAGTTACTCGGCTAGAGGTTACTTGAGCGGTTACTCGATCAAGGATTACTTGAGGGATTACTCGGTCAGGGGTTACTTGGTCAGGGGTTACTCGATCGGTCAGGGGTTACCTTAGGGGTTACTCGGTTAGGAGTAACTGACCGAGTAACTCGAGTAACCTTGACAACTCGAGTAACCCCAACCACACGGTGTGACCAGCCACACGGAAAAATCCCCTTAAATTAAATATCTATAATTGTACAAGAGTAAAAATTATAAAAGTTGATATTGTCAAAGTATTATATGAGAAGAATCTAACAAAGTCCCACGTGATTATATTTTACTTAACGTATAAATCATATTATATGGTCAAACAAGAGTGATGAATAGTGCAAAAGTCCAATTGTTGCAATAATATTGGAACAAAGAAACTATTAAGTTAAAACCAATTAAATTGCCTAAAATTATGTGTCGCTCAAAATGTAACACTTTAAAAAAAGACTGAGTATATAATAAGTAAGTATACACATCTTTTTCATATATTAAGAAAAAAAACACACATTATAACTTAATGTTTTATTTATGAGCAGGAAGATGAGTAATTTAAGTCAACGTTTAATGAATACATGAACTTTCATTGCTACATGTTCCCAGTATAGGAAATAAAATATCATAGTTGCATCTGTTTTACAAGTAATATGTGAGGAAGAATTCTACTACTTGTAATCAGTTTTTTAGGTGGTTTTGATTTTACATATTTATTGTTGTATTAAAGGGTATGTGTCAATGTGCATATACACTACATACTCCCTCTGTCCCAAAATATTTGTTACAGTCAAACTTTGCACATATGTCGACACTAGTTTGACCATAATTATTTTAATATAATTAAATATTAATGAAAATTATATATAAAAAAAAAGTCACACACACACACATATATATATGAAACTTAATATTAATACCTACTTAACAACATATTTTATGATAAGCTATGTTCTTTATTGTGTTAGTAAAAAAATTATAGTCAAAGACAACATATGAATAGTGAAAAAAAGTCCAACGTGTTAGTTATTCTAAGACACATGGAATATGTTTTTAATCTTATCCTTAGTTATAAGACGTGCATTAACATGGGCACATTCTATTATGAATAATTTTAAAGTAAGTTATTGCGCGTAAAAAAATCTAGAAAACAACTTATAATTGAGTCTTTGTTGTTCAACAAAAGTTGTAAATCCAAGAAACCACACTCAGAGGAGTATTGAAACAAACTCCAAACCCCCCCCCCCCTCCCCCCCTCTACAAAACTAATTTACCCTAGTTACTATTTCTCTCCTGTCCTCCTCTTTTCGTCTACGGTTTAACTTTGTTTGGTCGATAGGCCGAAAATAATTTGATTTTTTCTTTTTAATATAAATTGGACTATTTTCGCCCATTTTCTCTATTTGTTTTTCATTACATTTTCATTGTTAATTTCAATAAAACTACACGAGTATATCGGTATAAATGTACCAGTCTCCCTATGGCGGAGTTGGTGGTCGTTGACTCGTCGGTGTAATTGTTCGTTCCCCATAGGCAATTATTGTATTAGGTTAGGGTTTAATAAAAAAATCTATTTTCTTTTTCCCTATAATTAATTAGTTCGTTGGTAAAGAATCGTTGGGGATTCGAGTATGTTCAAATGAATCAGATTAAATTCATCCTCTTGGCTACAAAGAATCGTTAGTATTTCGGGGTTTTTTTTTTAATTCCCTCGAGATACAGACCTTCAATGCCAACTCACCCGATCGAGACACCTGCAAAACAACGAATATTCCGTGACTGGATTATTCGCCTCCGACGATTAAGTTAGTAACCGGTAAACGGAGGATTTTGGAGAGAGAAAGTAGAGATAATTTAGAGCAAAAAACAATAAATAATGCCTTGAATGCAATGTTTCAATACACCCCTCCCATCATAAATGATTGGGGTATTTATAGGAGTGGGAATATGGGCCATCTTAGGGTTTTGTAACCTCAAATGATGGGCACTAATTGGCTGCACAATGAGCTTAAGAACACATGTCCTTTGGGGGGCGCCGTTATAGCGTATCTCTCGGGAATGGGGCCTCTTGATGTGATTGTTGCATTTCCCCTCTTTCTAATGCTTCTATGTTGTCACGTGTCCTTTTCCTATTGGGACACGTGTCGCTCATTTATTGGGCCACGTGTCACCTAAAGATTGGATCGCGTGATGAGGTAACTTTACTTAGATCGTGTCTTTAAAAAGGTTATATGGTATATTCCAGTGATGTGTGCATGAGATGTACCATAGTGCAATATTTATTCAATGATTGAAGCTTCAATGAAGGAAACCTTTGTTAATTTGTTTTCATGTATTTGTTAAATTTAGATTTTGTTTGTGGATGACGTATAACATTTAATTAATGCATTGGTTAAAAAAAAAAAAAAAAAAAAAAAAAAAAAAAAAAAAAAAAAAAACATCAATGACAAATAACTCTTTAAAAAAATATATATATATATCACCAACAACCATGGACAACCCATCCAAAACAAACAATGAAAACTAACCCCTTGACTATGAAGAGACCCAATGCAAGAATAACAAGTTTTCCCAAGAAACAAACTTAATAAAACTCTAGCTTACTAAACTATATAAAAGTAAATTAAAGAAGACTTACACCTTCGATCTGAACTAATTAATGGAAGAACCATTCTCGATTGCAGAATCCCCTTGCAAAGCACCGTACCACCATAACCATATAGAGGTTTTGGCAAGAAAACCCTAAGCCTAATGTAACCAAAAACCGTCAGAAATTGACACTTTGAAGTCCTTGGTACATTGACTAGATGTTAACCCCTCAAAAAAAAATTCTTTAATTCTTCTCCTATTGCCGGGACAGATGCACACACAATTAACGATCACAAGCGAAAGCACAACGATCTCATTTTCCTGAACGTGTTGTAGAATGGGAAAGTATTACCAATCTTGAGCAACAAACACAATATGGACAACAAGCAAATCTAAATAGCCTAAATGCAATAAAAATAAAGCACACCAAGATATACGTGGAAACCCAAACAAGAGAAAACCACGGGTACCGTATGCCGGCACCAAGCCCTTCCACTAATTGAAAATAAATTAATGAGTACACCAAATTAACCTTCTCCAAACAATGCTAGAGGTTCTACGACATCAAACAACAAGTTTGGAACAAATTATTCTCCATATACATCACTAATAAGTGAATAAACTCAATTACGGAGATATTAGGGCTAAATAGAGATTACCAACATCCAAAGCACAAAACAACAATCTAACCGTTGTATATGTAGCATGGGATGGCAGGAACTTTGTGTCAAAATTTGGAGTCAATCGGGCAACGTCTAACCATCCGGTTGAGCTATAAACCGGACAGCTTCTATGGAGAAGTTCCCCTTCTCCTTCTCTGCCTTCCTCTATTTTGTGCGCGGGATTTGTGTAGCTTGCTGTCACACTTCCAATTTCCAGCTGGTCTCCCTATTTCAACCCCTTATTTGATTTACTTACTTACCTTTTACTTCATATGGGCCCAAGAGTGAATATCCATATGGTTATACCATTTATATGGTTATAACTCCACATGTTTTAGTAAGTTATATGGAAGTGTAGAGGCCTCGAGACGAATTAACTTGGTGTTAGGAACTATGAAGTCAATGTTTGATGATTATAAGTTGCAATATGCTAGTAGTTCACCTATTGTAGTTGCTCTTTCTCGTCCTAGTACTTCCGGAGCTAGAAATTACTTTGATGATTATGACCATTTTGTCGGCACTAGTACAAGGTCTCAAGTAGGAAAGTCACAACTTGAGATGTACTTAGATGATGATGCTTTAGATCTCAATTCACGATTAGATATTTTGGAGTTTTGGCATCAAAGTTCTGTGAGGTATCCTGTGGTATCTAAGATGGCACGGGATTTGTTGACTATTCCTGTGAGTATTGTGGCTTCGGACTCAGCTTTTAGTATTGGGGGAAAGACTGTTTCGGCATCGCGAAGTTTGTTAAAGTCAAAAACTATTCAAGCTTTAGTATGTTTGCAAGATTAGCATCGTGAAAGCATCAAGTAGAGGTTGATAATGAACTTGAAGATGAAATCATTGAAGAAGAAGAGGATGATGATGGAGACCCTTTCTACTAGGTAATTTCTTAGTTAATTGTTGTTTCATGTGGTTTTTTCATGTTATTCATCTTGAATCAATGCTTATTTATGATACCAGGTTTAATTTCTTGTATCATTCCCGTTTTCCTTCCATTTTTAATCATATCAGGCTGCTAGCTAGTATGTTCTACCATGAGCTGTTGGCTGTTATTGCGAGTGTAGTAAAGGACTGGGCACAACCTTTGTTTTTTGTATTTTCTTTTAGATTATATTGACACCTCTGGTTTTGTACTAAAGGGGTTCTTGCTTTCTTGTTGTTTGATATCAGCAAGTGTTGTGGATTAGCTAGTAACGTTGGAAGAAAAGCTATCAGTCTTGATGAACTAGATGACTTTGCTCCAGAAGAAGGGATGATTCTTGTAAATACTACATCTGTTGGAATGAAACCAAAAATAGCCGAAACACCTATTTCTAAGGTTTCAGCCCTCTCTTTTTTCTTATGCATATATACCTTTTATTACTTATGATATTTCAAGTATTGTTAAATGCAATAATTTCTAACATATGCTCTGCTGGAAATTTAATCGTTTCAACAATAAATTATTTTGTTTATGTTGTCCCTGTTTGTTTGATTTCTGTGGGAATCATGGTAGAACTTTTTATCATAATCAAGAGCATCATACAGTAGCAGGACTTGACAACTGATCTGAGGAGATTGATGAGCAGTTGACAACCATTAGCGAGCGTGATTGATTTGGATGTGTTTAACTAGGTGGGCTGGCGTAGTGTGCTAGTTGGTTTTCAGTACATTGGTTGTTGAAAATGTAATTTGAACTTTGTGGATTTCAGAATTTTTACAATTTTGATACTGAGCACTCCCTCTGTCCCTTTATTTTTGCCCCATTTGACTTTGTTCGGTCTCCAAGACACGTATTAAAATGTTTCTATCTCCAAATCTGTACGCTCAAAAGTTATAAATAGTTGATATTAATTAAATTTATAATGAGACGAATAAAATAAGATCTCACATGACTATATTCCCTTTTGTAGAATAATGGGAATTTATGGTCAAAGTTTTTAAAGTTTGACCCACATTTTGGCAATGGGGCAAAAAATTAGGGACGGAGGAAGTATTAAATTTCCCACTTAAATGTATTAATTTTCAAGGGAGTATTAATGTTCAAGAGAGTATTTTTGTTTCACTGTTTACATGAGCAGCTAAATGGAAGTATGTGGGTAAAGGCCCGTTAATGGTCCACTTCACTTTTACCCTAACCCTGACCCGACCCTGACCCGCATTAACCCTAACCCGACCCTGGCCCACTAAATATTTCTCATGACCCACAACCAATTCGCCCCGCTAGTGACCCGCACAATAACCACCTCTAATATTAACCCACTTAAATGGGATCCTTCCTCCAAGTAGGAGACCCAACACCTATAACATCCAAATCGAATTTGAGAATTTGAACTACCTTTTTTTTTTCCTTTAATTTCCAGGAATAGATGAGCTTTTCCTCTTCACGTTGATACTTCCAAATAACTAGAAACTGGGAATTGATAGATTGTTGTTGCTCAAGTTGTGGGCATCACTTGATTTGTGAGCTATTTACGCCAAAATATACTTATGGAAAACGAAATTGAATAAACAAGTAAAGGTGAAGGGTCTCGTCGGAGTTGGGCTTAGCGGCGCCTGAGCTCTTAATACAACATTACTCCTAAAAAATTTCTAGAATAAAGTTGTTCCATATTAAGCCAATATCAATTTCATTCAAAATTAAGTCCAATACAAGTTCGGGTAGGATTATCTCAACTGAGGCAGTTTTGTCTATTTAGTTTTTACATATTTTCGATTTTTTTACACGACCACCTAAAGTATTACAGTACATGAAAAAAAAAAAAAAAAAAAAAAAAATATCATCTTATCATAATCAACTGTATAACCTGAAACAGCAGAACTACCCGAACAATGAAGGTCAAGAAAGAGACCAGTAATTATTTGAACAAAAATGTATGACGTGCATGTTCTCAAATTTTATTATGAAAAGCTGACCCAAAAAAAAGAGGGAGACTACTTGACATATAGAGATATATATAGTTATATACTACCTGTGTAACTTTTGAACTCAATCAACAGAAAAGATATCCCTCGTTTACACATTGATACAAATCCATTGACCCTCAATCCTCATCGTTTCAAGAGTTCGGATAAATGAAATATCAAGAAGCTCTATTCCAATGCAACAGCCTCTTCTTCCTCAGCATCCAACTCTTGTTCCACCCCCTTCACCTGTAAGTATTACAAACTCATCATCAAATCCAACATGAAAAAATATTACAACATTATGAGGACACTTCCAAGTTCGGACACATATTCTATTAATGAAAATGTCACTAGTCACAACACAATAAATCAAATTTTATCAGCAACATTTCAAAGCAAAGGATCTTTTATTTAATGGATCGATGAAATTCCCAACCATAGCCTCAAGATCCGACACTAGAAAAAATCCCAACTCCTGACCATTCTTTTCCATTCCTTAAATACATAAATGAGCCTCTTTTTAATATTATTCTGGCATTATTGCTGAAATCATAAGTGGACAAAGTAATTCTTGCAATGGCTGGAGCACAGGCCTGCAACAGATTATAATGAGACATTTGCACTCACCCCAAGACATATCTTAGAAGCTATAAAGACGGTACAGTAAAAAAAAAGTGGATGAATTTGGCATGCATTCATTGACTGATATATAAGAGACATGCAAAGCTACACCAAGATGTGAGATGAAGAACAGGACATAAATTTTGAAGCTCAATGAGGATCTATACAGCCTCAAGCAAGTATTCATAGCTTAGTGTTGCAGGATCAATAAGTCTTTTGGGTGCAAGGCTTTGAAGGACATATTTGTATATGCTGTACATTAAAAACTAAGAGGCACAATGATGGAGATACATTAAGAGTATAGATTTTTCACTGAAGGAAACAATCCCAGCCATAACCCTTGATATAGAGAGAAATGTTGTGGTGCTACTAAAAATTGTGAAAGAGCAACTAAAGAAGTCCAGAATGGAGAATTGCAATTCTGAAACACTTCTACTTCAAACTAATAAAAAGGAGCAGTGCAAGGATGGTGGATTTACAAAGGGACATTAGGAAGTTTAATAGAAGTATAGTGGATAGGTTGTTCAATCTTACAATTACTAGATCGAATCTGTCCAGCAGACATATCAAAAATGAATTTTCTTGAAGATTGTGCAACATCCAAGTCAAATTTCTTATGAGATAGTTGAGCATTTGAAGTTACTACATTCATGTTGGATCCCTATCAATCTAAGGATGATAAGTCACACACATAGGGACTGAGCCAATTTCATTTACACTAGATTATGAAGCATCTCAATGCCTGTCAAAGAAGCAAGACAGTACAGTCCAAAATTATCAAGCTATAGCCATTGCAAAGAAACCTGCTTCCGTGGAAAACCAGGCTTACAAGGTGAAGCCTTAACCTATACTGTACAAGTGAAGTTAAACTGTTGAAGTAGAAGAAGTCATGAATTTTCAAATGCAAGGGAGGGAACCAACTTGCAGATAATACTTTCATAGATTAACCATTTAAAGAGCTTATAAAGAGAAATAAGAGTTCCAAGGAGAAGTGCTAAAATTTGGACCTCTGCTTGATATCTACATCCGAATGATATAAATAGATACTAGTCTACAGAAAGATATCAGAGTAGAATTTGCCAATATCGCATAAAGTTCTTCCTCCATTCTCTTCTGATTGCAAAATGGAAGGGATGCACGGTATTTAGGAGGAGAGAGGGAGAGAGAGATAAAAAGAAACACCATGTGATGAGGAGAGAGATAGAGAGATTACTGGTCAAGTTATGTTGCAATCACTTCGCAATTTCCCAAAAAGGAATATGTTGCAATTAAAAAGGAACGGAGGAAGAATTAAGCAAGCACAAGCAGAGTTGGGTGAAGTCAATCAAAATGGCCCGAGACAGCAGGCTCACCTCAGGCACATAGTGCATTAGCATGTTCTCAATGCCAGATTTTAAAGTCACAGATGAACTAGGACAGCCACTGCATGCTCCCTGCATCTGCAGTTTGACTATTCCAGTTTCCCTGTCGAGAAACGAAGAAGTGTCATTAACAATATATACAAAAAATAAAACCAAAGAAAATAGTAACAGAATATATGCAGAGAACCAGAAACATACGGATCAAATCCTCTATACACAATGTCACCACCATCATCCTGCACTGCAGGCCGTATGCGAGTCTCCAATAGCTCTTTTATCATAGCAACAATTTCTGAATCATCCTGCAGCATAATTTACTAATTATAAATCAAGATGATAGCTAGATTACTCTCTTTTCTCACCCACACAAACATATCCCCCCTCCCCCACCACAAGCTGCAACAATAAAGAATGAAGTTCCCTTAAGACAGGGCTAGAAAATGCGGTACATAATTAACTTTGAACTATGACGCAAATAGCATCAACAAAAATCTCTAGCAAAAGACTGTGAGGTCTACTAACCTTGTTGGGGTCAAGCTACATACATCTACTGCCACCCCCCCCCCCCAACCACCCAGGGCCCCTACCAGCTACCACCCCATCCTTAGAAAGACCCTTTTTATAAACGTTTAGGTAACTTTTAAATCACAGCATGACATAAATTAGAACAAATTATGCACAGAATTCTATTAAGACCTCAATGGAAAAACAGAATTTGAGAAACTGGAAGGTACAAGCACTTACTTCATGGATAGCTGTGTCCTTGGAAGCTGCAGTGCTTTCATCCAGAAATAATGGCTGACCAGATGTATAGAAATCCATGATTGAAGCAAAAATCTCCGGTTTCAGAATATCCCATGTAACTTCATCAGACTTTGTTACTGTTACGAAGTCTGATCCAAAGAAGACTCGTGTAACTCCTAAAAATGAGTAAGAGCTATGGTTACAGATAACACCATCACATGTCAAATTAGCAAGGCTTATTTCACTGTAGCAAATTAAGCCATTCGGTAACTCAGCCAAAATAAATGATGCCTGTTATGGTTATGAAACAGAAAGCAAGAGCCAACCAGACAATTTGACCATTTCTAGGGGGGGTTTGGTATACAATTTTTAAGAAAGTAAGAGAGTCAAACACCCATGTTTCCCTTAACCAGTGTTTGATTACCCTCTTTAACGATTCCCTTTTCCCTTATTTCACTTCCTCTCCCCCCTCCCCCTTCAAAATAAAAATCCTTTTGTACCGATTGTTTTAAACCTAGCTTACACCATCATCCATGGCCACAGTAGCAGATCCACTTTGTGTGTGTGTGTGTGTCTTTGGGGGGGGGACTCTCTATTAACGGCCGTACAAAATTTGTAATGAATGAGCATAGATAGCTTTCTGGTAGCATTTGCATGCAAGCCCTTCAAGCTATGCCAGTAATTTGGATTTCCCATGGCCAATTTCATTTTTTTTTTTTTTTACCTTTCTCAATTTTAACCGACAAGCAGAAAAACCAATACTATCTTTCTCAAGTCCTTCATAATTTTCCACAAAAAAGAAGAAAAAAAAAAGTACTTGGACATAAGGGTGTAAGATCAATCATAGACAACGGTCGTATGGAGCTGGAGGTTGGGGTTGGGACTGATGATTGAAAAGGGAAAGGATTAAGGGGCAGAAGAAGGTCTAAAGAGTGGCTTGAACATCAACTGATGACAATAAGATACAGAGAATAGGTTGAAAAATTATCAAAAACCCCTTCCTTTAATTTTTGATACCAAACATCTTGAGACATAAATTATTTCCATTCCCTAATTCAACCAAATATCAAACTTGTAATCCCTTCCATGATTCTTTTCCCCGTAATCCCTTTCTTGATTTCTTTCCCTTACTTTTTGCTTGAACTAAACATCGCATTATTTGCCACATTAACAACACATTTGAAAAATATGTTATCCCCACTTTTGTAGATTTTATCATAATATATTAGCAATAACACACACCTAGAGGCTAGAGAGTATCTTGTTATTAGGATAAGGGTTAAGGACAAGTACAATGACCCCCCAACCTCACAAACATATGTAAAGACTTAGAAAAGTAAATTAATAATTTCCAAAAGCTAAAAAATCACTCAAGATAATATCTTCTTTCCTTGTACATGTCTTTAAGATTAAAAAATAAAATAAAATAAAATAAAAAAAGAAAACTTGTATCGTTAATGAGGAAAATGCAAGAAATCTTGTCTTTCATTCTTTCAAGTTCCAAAAAGAAAAACAAATAAATAAAGTTCCTTTGACAAAAAGACAGACTCCATCACTCAAGGTCAACAACAATTCTATAGAGAAAAAGTCACCAAGAATTTTAAAAGAGCCAAAGAGGCCATTAAATTCACCATCATATATATACGAAAAAAAGAATCCAAAGATACGAGATTCAACCCCTTAGGAAAACGATAACATTCAATTATAAGCGATTATAAACCCCTTACAAGTTAATACAAGAAACCCTATTATAAGCCTGTAAATCCTAACAATCAGACTCCTAAAATCTTACTAAAAGCTTAATTTTAAGTTTAACAGTGACATTACGAAAAATAATTCTAATAAATAAAAATACAAAGACAGTTTGGCTAAAGAATTGAATTTTCTAGTATGATGCATAACGAATTTAATGAATCTTTAACCTTTACAAAAACTTGGATGACTATGAAATATCTAACTAGAGAGAGCCTGGAGTTATTCTCATAGAGAGGTTTTTGCCAATCTGCTCACAAGTGCCAAAAAATAACAAGACCAATCACTCTTGCAAAGATAAAAGTTAAACCAGAGATCATAAAGCAAGGTCAACAACAACAGGGTGGCCAGTGGGTGATCATAGCCAAAATATCTGATAACACTTACGAGATGTGCAGGATGTCTTTCATCATGAAGGCAACCTGAGAAAATCAAAATCCTCCAATGGATTTCATACCAAAAGCAGTAGCCAGTAGGTGATTAATGCCACAGACAAGCCTTGACAATGAGAATTAGAAACTAAAGAAGATAATTTTAAGATTGGAAGAAAAGGGACCTAAACAGAAGCTTTATGACCCCACACTCTTTACTCATCAACCATCACCTTCAATTATGTTTTAAGGGGGTTCTACCGAATATTGATTCAGCTTAATCTTGAGCAGCAGAGCATAGGGTGTATAGATACGATTCCAGCACTCCATTCATTTATTTTATTTTTTTGACAGGTCCAGCACTCTATTCATTGCAGTCACTGAACTTTGCAGTTTTGGACAGGAAGCATGAGTGGAAAATACTGACATGATTCTCAAAACCATGGTATGTATGACTGTATATAGCAAGTATTCCCATTAAACTAGTTGTGGAACATCCCTAGATGCCAACCAAATGTATAATTTTTTGGAAAATTCTACATGGTGGCCTTGTGGTTTTGGAAAGTCCACTTGGAGGACACCTTTTTATTTACTTTCTTAAGTGACCTCATGAGTCATGGTAATGCAAATATCATCAAGGGGTACTTATTGGTGTTTTTACGACTAACACAACCATATAATAAGTGATTTCAAACCTTGATTATAAAATTACTAGCCTACCGCTAGTTAGCACCCCATATTGACTAAACTTGCCCACGTAGCAACTCACGGCTAGTTTATAGTGGCCACCGAAGGCTAGCTTTTATACCAATGTGGTTTTTTGGCCCCACATCCTTCTTCTCTAAGGTACCAATTGGAGTCTCTTGGTGTGGTAACTGAATAGGCATCCTGCAAGATCATGAGGTTTCTACCGATACAGCTTGTTAAGTATGTTTGGTTTTTGGGACTGTCCTCCAAAATGCAATTCACAATCCCAAAACCGATTCAACTTAATCTTGAGTACAAAACATGCGATTAAAAGATAAGATTCCAGCACTCTATTCACTGCAGCCGCTGAACTTTGAAGTTTGGACAGGAAGCACAAGTGTCTTTGAAGTTTTTGGAGCAGGTGAGTTACATAATAATCTATATTAAGCTGATTAGCCTAATTATAAAGTGACTGAAGGTCAACCATCAAAATTATCGACTTCAATTCTGGTTAGCCCATAATTAATCAAGGTAGAAGGGTGAAATGGAGGTAAAGGGCTTGGCAGATTGATCGCCTCTGGCTTTGTGTGGAATTTACAAGTGAAACAAAAGCATTGCAAAGTGAAAAACGTGGACAAGATTCTCAGAACACATGGCATCTTTGTAGAAGTACTCTCATTAAACTAGTTGTGCAACAGACCTGAATTCTAATCCAATGTGTAGCTTTTTTGGAAATACTACACAGCAGCCTAGTGGAAACACTGTTTTTACAAAAAAAAAAAAAAAAAAAAAAAAAAAAAATCTTAAATGACCTCACTGTATAGTATATATAATTAAGGTGCCCTTATTGATGATTTTACGACTAACCCAACCATATAATAAGTGATTTCTAACCTTAATCCTAAAAATACTAGCCTACCATGTTGAGTGCAGCAACTCATGGCCCGTTTTTTTCTGGGAACTCATGGCCCGTTTATGGCAACCACCACAGGCCACCAGATACACCAGCAAGGCAGCAACAACTGACCAGCACAACCTTAGTGCAGTTTTGCCTTGCCCGTCCGTGCACACAGCCCATCTCTCCCACCCACAATCAGTCATCTTTGTCCAAATCTACACCCTTCACATGCAGGCCAGCCTTTACCTTGCTCCCTCTACTGCAGCCACTATACAACAATTCTGCCGACAACACAATACGGAATCTATGTCCCACAATTTTGCATACAAAAATAAATAAATAAACCCCAACAAATCAAACAATGCCTTGTACTCCAATTCAATCACACAATTGTAACTGCCAATTCCAAATTCAATTCCAAGTCAAAAATTAGGTTATGGTTTCTTGCCAAACAATTGTATTTTGTTTGAGCTTAAATAAGCAAATGTCAAGTGTATACATACTATTAGGTAGTATATATCAAATCTTCCTATAACATCATAACATAATACTAAAAACATAATTATACTCATAATACTTAACAAGCATACCATCAATCCCAAAAAGTGCTTTTGCTAAAGGTGAATTCATGGCAGTACGAGCATTCGGAAAGTCCGAACTCCCGATTTCCATTACTGGCTTGCCCGGATAAAACATCAAGGATGCCGGATTCGGAGTCGGCTGTGTTTGAATAAACATTGTCCTCCTTTGACCTGTTCAATAATTGAATTGATGTTAACAAAACATAAATCATCAAACATTCTTCACATATCATTATATAAAATTCATTTCCACAACAAACACCCATCAAACTCTACAAATCATAATTACAACCAAACAAATAAACAAACAGTCATATAAAACAACAAATTATTCAATTTATCAACATCACAATTTAGGATTTTACAAAAATAATTGAAATGATGTTATCAAAGCATAAATCATCAAACATTCTTCACATCATCATCATATCAAATTCATTTCCATAACAAACATCTATCAAACTCTAAAAATCATAATTACAACCAAACAAATAAACAAACAATCATATAAAACAACAAATAATCCAATTTATCAACATAACAATCTAGAGTTTTACAAAAGTATCAAAATCTTACCTAGAAATGGCCCCCATGGCTTGGAATTCAAATAATTGTTAGGTGAATTTCTGAAATTAGCGAAATTGGAAGTGTATGAAGAATCAGAAACATGGAAATTAGATGAAGATGAGACTAGCGATCGAAAATACATGCATCGATTGCGCAAAGGGTTTGAATTTAGGACAACGAAAGATTGATGAGCTAATCTCAGATTTCGTAAAATTCTCATAACTAGTGTTCTTCCCTAAAAAATAATGGAGGTTTTATGGAAGGTGTCAAAGATTTAAATGGCGGAACAGCGGCGGATCCAGGATTTCCGAGCTTGTGAGTCACCCTAAATTATTGATCACCTGTAAAAGTACAAAAAAAAAATTTTGAATCCAAAAATATTAACAAAAAAATATATATGACAACCAACTTGATTTCAATCTAAAACCATTTATTAAAAACATGAGAAATATCCTACTGTAGCTTAGGTTGAAAATGAATAGTTGATTGGCTTTTTTGCCCTTTTAAACTGATTTTGCTTTCACTTTTTTTTTTTTTTTTGTAAATATAAAATATTATTTCCAAAAAGGGGGTTACTGCCCAAAGAAGCAGCAGCAACTAGGGATGTCAGTGGGGCGTGTCTAGTAGGAGACCCGCCCCGATGGGGCGGGGATGGGTCTAACTTTGGCGGGACGCGGGCGGGGATGGGTCTAAAATCCATACCCGCCATGGGTGATGGGGCGGGGGTGGATTTTATGTAATACCCGCCTCGCCTGACCCACTCCATACCCGCATTATACCCGACCCATATAGCAAAAAAAAAAAAAAAAAACAAAAAATTACTAAACTGACTAATGAAGGCTCTAGAACCCACACTCATTCAGTCATTCTCATTCTCAAGTCTCAACCCTAGGCGTATCACACTACTCTCTCCTCTCAGTCTCTCACCTCTCTCCTCTCAAGCTCTAATCAATCACCACCTCTGAATCTCGCCGCCGAGTTGTGCGTCTGTCAACGCTCCGATCAAACTTCTGAACTGCATTTCTTCCTATATATTCGGTACTCTCTTAGTCTCTCTAACTCTTTTTTTTGTTTTTCTTTCCCCAATTATTTTTCCCCTTACCATTTTTTTGATGAAAAATAATTTCACTAATCAACTACGAAATTAAGAAGGCATTCAAATTTTGGATGCTTAAAACTACAAGTTTGATTTTGTATGAGTTAATTTGATTTGCGTTTAGAAATTGATTAATCAATTGTGAAATTAGCCCCTACTTATACCCATACATAATTTTGTCATTCATCATCATGAATATTTTGTTTTTATTGTTAAATTAAATTCGAAAATTTGGCTTATTTCTAGGTATATAATTGTGAATTTCATGGAGTCAATTCAATATCATTGTTATGGTTTAATTGAATGATTTTGGTGTATTGCAGCGGTTTGTTTTTGTCTTTCTGTTTTAGTACTTTGGCTTCTCTACATATGTTTAACGCATGCAATAGTTGTTTGCAAGTTTTAATTTTGATATTAAAGAAATATTGTTTAATAATGTTTGGTCTTATATAACTCATCATTTGATAAAATTCTATATCTAGAACATTATGGAGCTCTCAAACTTCCTTCAACTGTGTTATTTGGGTGGGGAATTTTTGGAAAATAAGGTGATGTATTGTATGTAGGCGGGGAGAACAGGTTTTTATTCATCAGTTCTATTATGAATTTCTCGGAGGTTTCTGAGTAAGATATATGAAGTTTTGGGTGTGGTAGACAAAATCTAGAGTCGCAAATGCGAACAAGGTTTCTGTCCTAGTTTCTAATTAATCAAATTCTGAATGAATGTTTGACACTCATTCGTTTGATATTTTGATTTGCTTGGTCTTATGACTTATGAGTTACTGCAAATTTTAGTTTATAGGCTATACTCGTTGCTAATTTGCTATGATGTTTAATTACTTGTTTTCTTATTATGTATTTTAATATTTGTAGACTTGTAGTATTTTTAATATTTGGACTTTGGACAATTTGGAGTTACTGTTTTTTTTTCCTTCATTTTAATAAATGCCAACCCCGCCTGAACCCACAGACATGAAAAGGGAGTGATACATCAGTATAATTCAACTAACCGTAAAATACAAACACGAGAAACAAAAAATATTAATCAACAGATAATGACGAAGGCGAATTGCTAAAGACATGTGAAGTGAACACGGCTCTAATTTTATCCTCCCACTCCCACCCAAACATAAGAACAACACTCAAAGAAAAAACCTTAAGTGCACAAACATCCGGGGTAGAAATAAACAAGTCAGCAGACAATCTAGCAAAATACTTGAATCGGAAGAGACCATCACTCATCAAAGGTGAATTGCGAGAGAGACGTGCAAAGTTATTAAGTTAACCCTTCTACTTCAATCAACCAACTCCTCCCACTCCTCACCCATACTGAGTCTTATAATTTATACTACCAAGAGCAAATTAAGCTCCAAAATTGCAGATACAAGTCATGCAACTACATGATTACCATCCCCTCTCCCCTCCCAACAAATACGAGATTATTCTCTGATAAGCTACATTGCAACCTCCTTTATTCCGACCTTTTCATTTCACCCCCACAAACCCATGACAGATCCATTCAACACTTCGACATGGGTATAGACACTTTAACAATTCATTCCGAGTTATAGCTATTAAAATTTATTATAAACCAACAGAATCGGATGGTAGAACATATACCCATTTCGAATTAAGTGATATACTGCCTAAAATTAGGAAAATTGGAAAAAGCAAAAAGGGTTTTAGAATCTGCTGTTTAAGTTTTCTAAATCTAGATTCAAACAAAAATGGTAATTCATGCTATTGTTGCAACGAACAAAATTGAAACTCACCGCCATCGCAAATGGTCGTCGGAAATTTAGGGTTTGCTTGAAAACCTGAAGCAGCAAAAAATTTGGCTCAATTATCAAATTAAACTCTTCTCACTAACGAACATGAACAGCAAAATTTTAGCATTTCAGTGATTAAATTATAATTCAATAATCAATCCACTTTAGAAGAACCCTAAATTGAATAAAAGTGACGATTAAGAGTATAATGTAAAATTAAATTTCGATGATTCTGAGAGAAATCTAACCTAAGAAGCAGCTTCTTCGAGGAGAGAAAGCTGAGAAGCCCCTTAGACGGAGAATTTCAGAGAGTAAAGATTGAAGAACACAGTGAAGAGGAAACGTGTGTTTATTGCCTAATGATTGCTCAATATATATTTCCAACACTAAAGTAAAAATAATAATACTTCCTCCGTTTTTTATTATCTGCAACAATTACCCAAAATAGGTGTTTCATATTATTTGCAACATGTTTTTTTTTTTCCTTTTTTAATAAGTTTAGTAAGTGTAAAATTACCATATTACCCTTAAAAAAACTGATTATATTCTAAACTACAATCTAACTATGATTAATAACCCCAAAACCCCAATTTCATTCTCACTTATTTCTCACCATCTCCTTCAACCATCACCTTCAATGGAAAACACCACCACCACCACCACTACTACCACCGTACCGATCTCCACTCTATCTACATCTACTCATAAATTCCCCCTCTCTTTGTTCATCTCCCCTCAAATTCAACCACCACCTTCGCCGGAAGTCGCCCTGTAAGTGTCATGCTTGTCGTCGTCGCCATCTCCGCTTTCTCGCTCTTCCTTCTCCTTTTGTTTCATTCTTGTCACTAAAGCTCAAATTTGAAGGTTTTATGGTCAAATGTAACCATGAAAATTTTAGATCTAGAATTTTAATGGTTAAATTTGACCAAATAAAGCTTTAATTGATGATAGAGAAGGTAATGGTTTCGTGGGGTGGCGTGGGTCTGGTTCGTGGTGGCGGCTGTGTGGATTTGGTGTCGTGGGGTAGCGTGGGTCTGGTTCGTGGTGGTGGCTGGATGGCGCGAGTTGTTTTGTAGGGGTGGCGTGGGTTGGGTTCGTGGTGGTGGTGGTGACTGGGTTCGTGGTGGTGGTGGTGGCTGTGTGGGTTTGGTGTCGTGGGTCTGGTTCCTGGTGGTGGCTGGATGGCGCGGGTTGTTTTGTAGGGGTGGCGTGGGTTGGGTTCGTGGGGTGGCGTGGGTCTGGATTCGTGGTGGTGGTGGTGACTGGGTTCATGGTGGTGGTGGTGGCTGTGTGGGTTTGGTGTCGTGGGTCTGGTTCGTGGTGGTGGCTGGATGGCGCGGGTTGTTTTGTAGGGGTGGCGTGGGTTGGGTTCGTGGGGTGGCGTGGATCTGGGTTCGTGGTGGTGGTGGTGATTGGGTTTGTGGTGGTGGTGGTGGCTGGGTTTTAGTGGTTTGATAAATTTTTGTTTTTAATTGGATTAGTGGTTAAGTACATGCCCTTGTATTTCAATAATCATGCTTAGGAACTTTTACCTCGGCCTCCGCAACCGGTACGGTTGTTGCAGATAATAAAAAACGGAGGTAGTATTATAGAGTTATAAAATTAGTCTTGACCAACAAGAAACCAGTCAAAAGTTCTACAAAACATCTTATTTAGACTTTGTAAAACTTTAGGCGAGTTGAATAGAGTAAAATATTGTGCTATTGGAGTTTGATGGGAATTAAAAGATACAAGTATAGAGTACTAAAATAGAGATAATGTGGTAATACATTATTACTATGCAAAAATAAATAAAGGATGTAGTAGAAAAGAAATAATCCCTTGGTCACAAAATTAATTACCTCCATCTCTGTGTTCTTGTCGAACAATGAAGTGCTGTCTTTTTTTAATCAGTGCCTTGGAAGAGGTTGTGATTAATGGCAGAAGATTTCAGATCTTTGTGCTCGTTAATTAACCAAGGGAACATTTGCACCACACTTGCAGGCTTGCAGTCACAATAATAGGTAGGTGCATGCGTGTTGTAGAGCTTGCTAGATCACCCTCATATTTCTTTTATCCTTCTACTACAATTTAAGAAACATATAATATTTTTTTAACATCAAGTAATATAATTAGTTTGATTCCATGGAAAATTTAATGGTAATTCTTCGGTCTCAATTTACTTCCCCATTCTTCTATTTAGAGTGTCTCATTATGATTATCCATTTCCTTCTTAAGAAGAAATTTCATTTGAGTTAGATCTCACACTTATCATTTTACTAATCAATGTTTCATTTGCATTACCTTTTGTGCATATGAGTATGAGGAAAATAAAATGGGAGGCGGGAATAATAATGATCTTTAAATATGATCATAGTATAGAGGGACATATTATGGACTCATATATAGTATTTAAGCTAAGTTGGTTTATTAGAATTACTTGAAAGTTAAGTTGTCAACTTTATTAAGGAGTGTAGGTTGACTTGCCCATTAGTCCATGAGAAAATTTGTAATGGGTCTAGGCCAATAGGTAGTAAATTGTGTTTCTTTTTGCTCTACTTATTTGTCCATTGTGACATTTAACTAGTTTTGTAAGTCCTCCTTGGAATTTTTTTTTTTTTTTTTTTTTGTTTTTTTTTTGTTTTTTTTTTTTGCCTTGTTTTGAAAGCCTTTGGAGTAATATCTTGTGGCTTCTTGAGTGAGCTATTTCTCGTAAGCCTTGAGGTAATAAGGATAGTAAGAGTGAGTGAAGGCAGTAGCAAACTCATGCACAAGATAGAGAGATAAGTGACAAAATGAGGGTTTTTAGAGGGTATCCATTTTTGAATTTTTCAGCACAACTTTCACAAACTTGGTTGTTTCTAGAAAATTCACCGTTAAATCATGGTCAAATTTTGAAAGCTTAATTTTGACATCAAGGGATACATTTTGAACGGTTGGATCGTTGTTTTGAGCTCTAGTTTCGTCATAATCGTCTTTGGACAAAATTGTTGTGTTTGGGGTGAATTCTACACCTTTTGCTCTCTAATTTTGGTCTCTTATTGTTGGTGGGTTGTGAATAATTTGCAAACTGATTTGAGGTTTTTTTCCCTCGATTTATCAATAAGAGAAGTTATGGTGGACTCCTTAAATGGTCCCGTGGTTTTTATCTTTCACATCGAAGGGGTTTTCCACGTATAATTTGTGTGTGTTGTTTGTTATCATTTCTTCCTATTTTGTTGATTTTTGCTACTCCATTGCTGATTTGATTGTGGCTTGTGCGATTTGATTGTGTGAGAAATTGGGTTGATTTGATTGAATTGTTAGTTAATTGTCTTGTGTGTGACATTACGGGTGTCGTAGTGACCCCCTTCAAATCTCTACAACTTGGTATCAAGTCGGAGTTTAATTTGTTACATTATTGAGTTGAGTAGTAATAATTTGTTGGTTTTGTTGCAATGTAATGCAAAACTTATTATTTTGTTGTTGGAATGGAAAAATTAACAACTATTTATTGCAAAAGCTAGCTAATTCATATTGCATTCAATAATTTTAACTGTCACAATATACAGGCCCTTTTCATCTTTGTTTTTGAAAAAAAAAAAAAAAAAAATCCTTGACATAAGTACACTTAAACCATACTATTTGTTTTCAGATATTGCAAAAAAATAAGCACCCCTAGAAATATACATATACTTTGCTTCAAAAAAAAAATACATATACTTCACAAGACAGACTAGGTTTTTTTCCAAACAGCTTGCAGCTTGGCCCTTGGAGCAGATGTGCTTGGTGCTGTTGTTATCACTATTAGTGCAGATGTAGTGGCAAATGTTAGTTGTTGTTGATGCTTAGCTTTGTGGTGGATGTTGGGTCTGCTCCATTTGTTGTCCTCGTTGGATCTTTCTATTGGCGCATGCAAATCTAACTTCACAAACCCCCAAATACAGGCTTCTCTAAGAAAGTGCATGGATTGGAAAATCACTAACCTTGCAATCATACCTACAATATTCCCATTCAACCTCATACACCCAAACGTTTCTACCCCTTTCTTTTTTTTATCACAAACCCATAACCTAACCTAACCTTAATATCTACATATTCAACACCATCAGCCATCTGTTATTCATTGATTTTTAATAGCAATTTGTTTTCTAAACCCTATATAAAAGAATCTGCAATCAACACAATCCCTAATTAACTATTACCCTAATTACACATAATTTAGTAATATCAAAATGTGTTCCATTTAATAATTAAACAATTCCCTCAATTAAGTGTTCAAATAGTAAACTAACATAGTCAATTAAACAATAAGTCACTTTAATTGAGTTTAAATAAAGTAATTATATATTAATCATGTTGAACATTCTATGATTAAATGCAACTCAACAATGAACCCTAACATTTTACAAAATTGCAATAATACCTTCTGTTTCGGGGTTTTCTGTGTCCCTCGGGAGAGTTACAACACCAAGACTGGATTCCGGGCGCCTGTACCTACAAAACAACGGAGACTCCGGTTGGGTGGAGTTCCGCCTCCGACGATCAAGTTAGAACGTGTTCGGAAGATAAAAAGTGCGGAATGTGAATGGGATCAGGTTCCTCTTTAGAGAGAAATGATCATCCGACTATCATAGACAGCCTCAATATCTGAGTATTTACTATCGTAATTCATGTGAATTGAATGTCTTTCATGTGTTTCCATGGTGGAAACATCTCCCTTTTATAGGGTCTTCAAATGCGTGCCCGGTCCTAGGTTATGGAAACCTAGGACTGATTGGGTTGCCTAGGAGTTTGGGCCTTTGAAAGCCGCCTTTCCTAGTTGGATATCTGTCTGCCACTTGTCGTGCCTTGACTAGACCACTTTGGACTCCTCCCTAGGTGACATGTGGCGGACTTCGATTAGTCCACGTGGCGAGGTAAAAATCCCTAATCATTTGCCCCTCACAGGGGTGACGTGGCTTGCCACGTGGTGCCTGTGACATGTGTCACACGCAGATAGGCGAACGATTTTTACCCGTTATTTGTTTTTGGAACATTTTTCAGGGCTACCCCTTGAAATTCTTACCCCCTATATAAGGGTCATGCCCCAATCATTTTTTTGCACATCCTCAAGATTTTCGGACATAGAATCTTTGACTTTTAGAAAAGAATTTGTCTTTTTCTGAGAAAAGCACTTGTCGCCTGTTATCTGATCGCTTGTTTCTACAGCCGCCCAAGACTTTTTCCAAGCGCCAACAGTACCTTCAAACTAAAGGTAACCGCTTGCTTTTCTCTCGTATTTTACTTCGTTTCTTTTCATTTTGAAAATGGTTTCCCAAAAGCACTCGGCACGGCATAGGTTAGTGATCAACCGGTCATCGGGGACGGCTGAATCTAGAACTAGGAGTGCCAACTGCCCCTTACTGGACCACCCTTTGCGAACTTCT